AAAAAAGAAGAAAAGAAACATGGGCACTCCCGAAAAAAAGGAAAGAAAGAAACACGGGCAGCAGATTCGTTTGTGTGTGAAGAATTGCCACTGACAATGTGGTCCCCGTTGTCGCTGACAGCTGGATCTCAAATTGTGCCGTCATGACATTCAAGGCCTCGCTCCACTCGCCCAACGTATGAGATTTGAATCTTTCGCTAGAACATGGAAAGATACACCGCCATATTTTTTATCTTTCGCACTTGTGGTGAGCAGCCGAGCGAGCCCGGGCTCGTTCGACTGCTCACCACAAGTGCAAAAGACGAAAAATATGGCGGTGTATCTTTCCATGTTCTAGGGAAAGATTCAATATCGTTTCGTTTCGTACATTGGGTGATAGCCCAGTGAGGCCGCAGGTGAGCACCGTTTCACTTTCCTTCTGTACCGTATTTCTTTTTTTTTTCTCGTTCGTTGTCTTGCAGCGCTCGCTTTTCAGGCGTGTTTTGTCTGACGACTGACGTCTGCTCCCAACTGGAGTGCCCACCCTCCCTCGCCTTGTTCTTTTTTTTTTTTTGGCGCTTATGGGAAAGGCAGCCCTTTTGTTCGGTTTGCCCTACCGCAGCATCGGTAACTGGCCGCGCGGATACATTCGGCAAGGGCAGCTGAAAGGTACTGGCGGTTTAAAGGCACTCCACATGGCTCAGCCATGTGGCTTGATCGTTTTGTTCATTTTCTCCTTTTTTTCATTTTCTTTTTTCTTGTTGTTTTTTTTTTGCGCGCGCTTATGGCAAAGGCAACCCTTCTGTTCGGTTTGCCCTACCACAGCATCGGTAAATGGCCGCGGATACGTTCGGCAAGGGCAGCTGAAAGGTACTGGCGGTTTAAAGGCACCCCACATGGCTCAGCCATGTGGCTTGATTGTTTTGTTCATTTTCTCCTTTTTTTCGTTTTCTTATTATGTGTGCGTGGTGTGAGAGAGATAGAGGGTGAGGGGGAAGGGGAGGAGCAGGAAATGGTGGTTTTGTTTCTCTCTACTTCCTGACTCTGATTTGGGAAGGGAGCATAGGCAGTGCAACATCGTGAAGAAGTGGAGCCGGAAATGATGGTGGGACATGATTATGGTGGATGACCAGGGATCTTAATGCAGTGGGGAGGGAGAGGAAGCCGTGAGGGAGGGGGTCAAGGGATAAGGAAGATGGGTGTGGCAGTTGGGGATTTGATGTCAGGACAAATGAGAAGTGCACTAGGCTACCAGAGTGGCCCGGGGTCATTTGCCCGGCCGGGCCAAAAAGATTTAAAAAATATAAAAAATAAAAAATATTTTAACTTTTTATTTTATATTTTAAATTTGGTAAAGAATTTTGATGTGACCCTGAGGCAAAAGTTGTTCAGTTTATTTTTCTGCATAACATAGTTTTTTTTCGGATTTTTTGGATTTTTTTTTTTTTT